AAAACTCAGCAGAGTTGATCAGCCCCTATGACCTTCTATAAAGCGTAATAAATCAATTTGTCATACAGTGGAAGATTTTGGGGACTGCTTTACAGGTATCCACCCTTATTAATCATGATCATAGCCATGAAGTTTCAGTAAATACTCTCTGCCATCACTGCACTTGACAATACAAAAATCCCCAAATACAGCCAAATATCCAGATCACTCTACAACTTTTCACAGACGTAATGTAGGGACAGATGTCAGATTAAAGTGTGGCACCAGAAATACTACCATAATACCACTAACAAAATTAGTGAACAGTGTTCACTGTTAATTGGATTAAAACAATGCTTGCTTGCTAAAAATCCAGACATGAAAATAGACACTTCAAATCCAGACAATACACAAAAGTAATGTAAAAATAAGCTTGTGGTGGATGTCTTAATGTCCATTTTGCCATGGCTTTTAGAAAAGGGCTAAGTTGGGCTGGTAGAGCCAAGGCCTGAGTTTATCCCAGACACTGCAAGGAAAAGGAAGGAAGGAAGGGAGGGAGAAGAGAAAAGGAAGGAAGGAAGGAAGGAAGGAAGGAAGGAAGAAGGAAGAAGGAAGGAAGGAAGGAAAATGGTTAAGCCATGGGTCTTCAGATTCACAGCTGTCATCCTCAACCCTGGCTGTACAATAGAAACCACCTGGGGAGTCCAGGCACTGTAACCTCCAGGCCCCTCCTCTGGAGATAAAACTCCCTTCATTTTTGTGAGCAACTCAGGATTGAGCACGGGGGGGGGAGCTTGAAAGAGGCTGAGTTAAAAAGTCATAAGACCATACAGCCTTCAGTGCCCAGCCTCCGTTACTAATAAAATGAAAGGGTTGGATTGCATGGATCTAAGATCCACCCCATGGGCTGCACTCACAAGTGTGAACGCCTTATTGAAGTGGGTAACTTTAAGTGGGGTAATTTCTCTTCATATAAGGAGTCTGCACTTTTGAGCTGGAGATTCTGATATTGTAACTGAGTTTGCTGTCAACCTTCCTCTAGGACTGGCAGTGTCAGCTGTAAGCTGCTGGAACTGTAAATAAAGGAACATTGTTAATTGTTGTGTAACATTGACTTCATGCACCTAAAATAGGCTTTAAAGACTTAGCTTGGTTCCATGCTACATTATCCTTTAGATTATTTTAGTTATTTGATTTCATGTGCAAATACGTCAGACACAGCATCATCTTCTCACCCTTCAAGGCCCATTGGTCCTCTGAGGCTGCCAGAGTACCACAGAGAAAGATCAAGAAGGAAGTAAAAGTGTTCTGAGAGAGCCTCAATTCCATTTTGTAGAAGTCATATTCCTTTGTAATGTGTGGCATTAGGACCATGGCCATACCAACCACCCTGGCCATGCCTTGCTTTGTTTGAAATGTGTGGTTGTGAAGAAAACACCTGATTTCACAAAATTCTTCTTCATCCTCCTGACCTTGGTCCTCTTCTTTGGTAGAGTGGAAAAGGGAGTTGGAGGTAGAAACTGGAATGTAAGGAGGACAGGGTCATCTGGGTAAGAACTAGAACCGCACCGCTGTTCCAGGGCATCGAGTGGAAAGGAGAGAAGAGCCCTGCCTTGAGAGCAGAGTGTTGGAAGAGCGTCTCCAAGCTGTAAAGGCCACTCATACTCATGAGGCAATTCCTGAACCACGCTCTGGGTAGGTGTATAACCCCCATGGTGTGATGAAGCATGTTTGTATTTTAATTATTTATGAGTTTTACATTTTTATACTCAATATATCTTGTTGGCTACACCAAGGCATGTGGTAAATCCTTGGAAATTCTCTACCAAACAGGGTTATAAATTATTTTGCCCTTTAAAGGAACAAGACTTCAGGTATCTGTGTAAGTTACTAAAGCAGAATGTTTACTCCTTGATGAATCCATAAAAATAGATCACAATTATATTCTTATGGTTTGTACAACTTATTTTATCTTTTTATTTTCATGGGGCAATGCACAAGCAGGTGGTTTTTAGACGTACTACGAGTATCAAGTAAAACTGATAGTAACAACAGTAACATACTTCTGTTGTCATTTCAGGTTTTGTTTTCTTCTCTGAAACCTTTGTTCTTTTGTGTTTATTCAATTCATAAGTAAGAATTTTAGAGCATATACTAAGAGCCAGGTGCTATCAGCTCCTGATCTGCTTATGTCTAGGATTTTCAGTTGCTTAAAAACACAACACAATGCATTTCTTTTCCTCCAGCAAACTTAAAAAAAAATTTCCCTTCAATAGAATTATTTTAGAAGTTGCCAGTCATCTCTGAAATCAAACTTAGAAATAAGCAACCATGGCACTAGAAGTGGCAAGTTTTGAATGATGGGCCAGTGGTTTCATAGAGTACTTGAATTTATTGCTAGAACCAAGTGATGCTAGCTGAGGCAGTTTGGCTTGCTCACATGTATGTCTCTGAAAGTACAAACACAAGCGTGAGGCTTAAATTCATTCCCATTTCTCTCATTGACCCCTTTGCCAGAGGACCACAGATTCATTTTTAAGGGACCAAGAATATAAATATGTACATTTTTCTTATAAAGAATTGTCTTGATTTTATTACCCTTAATGAAATAAAAGCTCCTTGAAAAATACGAAAGGTTCAGGAAGCAAATGCTTCGGAATGTTCTAACATTAGAGAGACTGCTTGCTTTCTGAAAATAAACTTATGCTATGAACAGGAGCCTGCTGGTATAGAATACAAGAAGGATTAATTAGTAAGTTCCAGAAGCTGTACTCAGAGAAACATAATTCTCTAGAGACTGACAGTTTAATTAAGACAAAGCTATAACATTTATATGTAGTGACCATTACAATGAGAACAACGGACTATAATAAACAGGCTTCTCAAGGTTATTAATACAAAAAGGACAGAAGGCTTGCTTCTACAAAAACCACGATATGAAATTTGTGGTACAGTTGCTAACAAAAAGAAAGGAAGAAGAGAAAAGACCCCAGGGAAAAAACTTTTTATTAAACAAATATATCCTTTTTTTTTTTCTTTTTCCTTGACAGTACCGGGGTTTGAACTCAGGGCCTCACACTTCCTGGCAGGTGCTCTACCACTTGAGCCATTTCACCAGCCCTGTTTTGTGTTGGGTATTTTTGAGATAGGTTCTCAAGAACTATTTGCCCCAGGCTGGCTTTGAACCGAGATCCTCCTGATCTCTGGTCTCCAGAGTAGCTAGGATTACAGGCGTGAACCTCAGTGCCTAGCTAACCAAATATTTTCCACAGTATCTTTTTCTCTTTTTTTAGTGCTGGGGATGGTATCTGGGGCCATGTGCATGCTAGGTTACAACCACAGACCTGCACAGTATTTCTTAATGTCAAACTGGGTGATGTTTACATCATTAAATCAGCTTAATATTTTTCCTTTTAGCTTTCAGATGGAATTTTAGAAAATACCCAGCAAGAAAATCGTTCTGAAAGTGCTTCTTCTGAAGTTCTTTGGTATAAATTAGTCATTCTGATAGTAATTAATCCATTGAGTACTTTAACATCTATGCATGAACAAAAATGTAATGAGGATATGCATGTTTAGAAAATCATGACTGAAGAATAAATTATATTTTGACCTTGTGAAAAACATAACTCCAAAATTTTACCTGTGTTTCTATGGTAAAGATATCTATACTGGCTATAAGAACACCTCTAATTTGATTTAGATGAAAGAAATGTTACATAAAACATCCCTTTTCTTGATTATTAGAATAACTGTTCTATACATTTTCTCAGGTACAAGAGGCAAGCTTCAGCTTGAAGAAAAGATTGATTTTAAATTGCATAAAGTTAGATTGTTGTGCCTTCTGACTCAGTGAGTGTGAATATCTAGTATTTGATGGCTGTTTGCAGAGTGTTAAGGAATACTCTGGTAGACAGCTAATTTTCCTCCTGGAGCATCTTCTCTATTTCTTTATCCCAATTTTCATCCCGTTTCTCGGACTCTGTAACCACTTCATATTCCTGAAGCTCCTGTTGCAGCTCCCTTTCCCAGTCAGCAGAATCCTCTATGAGAAACAAAGGAGAAGGAAAGGAAAGATTCTCTCTGATCTCTTAAGGTACGCAGGGCCTTACACAAGTACGTGTGTGTGTATGGAACGCAGGGCCTTACACAAGTACGTGTGTGTGTGTGTGTATGGAACGCAGGGCCTTACACAAGTACGTGTGTGTATGGAACGCAGGGCCTTACACAAGTACGTGTGTGTGTGTGTGTGTGTGTGTATGGATGGAATGCAGGGCCTTACACAAGCTAGGCAAGTGCTCTACCACTGAGCTACACCCCAAGCCTAATGTTCAGCCCTCCTCCCTGTATGTGGCCAGAAAAATAGTAATTTTTTGAGGGTGGGGAGGAGGAGTGATTTGAGACACAGTCTCATTCTGTGGTCCAGGCTGGTCTCCAACTTGCAATTCTGCCTCAGTCTCCTGAGGTACTGAGACTACAGACAGGGACACCTCTCTCCTGGCTGGAACAAACTTTAACAATGATGATGGAACAATATAACTAGAAAGAAAGATACATTTGTTAATATAGAGCAAAGGAATCAAGATAATTCTGGGGTAGGAGAATGGCTCAAGTAGTAGAGCTCTTGTCTAGCAAGTGTAAGGCCTTACACAAGCTAGGCAAGTGCTCTACCACTGAGTTACACCCCAAGCCTAATGTTCAGCCCTAAAGTTCAATCGCCAGTACCACACATACACACATGTACACACACACACACACACACACACACACACACACACACACAGACAATTCTGCATGCTGTTTTGCTTACCTAGGCTGCTGTGCTTATTTATTTTTAGCAGTTTAAAAAAAATATTTATTTATTTATTTATTTTTTTGCGGTCCTGGGGCTTGAACTCAGGGCATTCACCTTGAGCCACTCCACCAGCCCTATTTTCGAGATAGGGTCTCAGGAACTGTTTGCCCGGGCGGGCTTCGAACCACGATCCTCCTGATCTCTGCCTCCTGAGTAGCTAGGATTATAGGTGTGAGCCACCGGCGCCCGGCAAAAAGAATTATTTTTAAATTAACATACATACAAGGGGATTTCATTAGGATAATTTCAGATGTGTACAGTGAATACTTTTGTTCTTATTTAGATGTGTAACTGCTAATTACTGTTTAGTTGCATATTAATTTTTACTACTACCAATGATGCAGTGATAGCAAAAACAGCTAACATTTATTGAGCATCTGCTCACCAGGTCCCAGCTTAACTGCTTCCTATGTATTGCTCTTTTCATCTTTAGAAACTGTCCACTCCTTACAGTTGGGGAAATGGAGGCTTAGACAAGTTATGTGACTTGCCCAAGATCACAGTTTTTTTTTTCTTTTAGTAATGGGGGGATTGAACCCAGGTTCTCTGCTTGAGCCATGTTCCCATTCTTTTTGCTTTTCATGTTTTTCAGATAGGGTCTCCTGCTAATTTTGTCCATGCTGGCCTTGAATCTTGATCCTGCTGTCTCTGCCTCCTGAGTATCGGGGATTATAGGCATGAGCCACCAGGCTGGTGTAAGAGCACAGCTCTTGACAGCAACAGATACATGGATGGACCAGATCTGCAGGCTCCACAGCCTGGGTTTAACCACTATGCCAACACAAATGCTATCTCCCTAGAGTGGCAAAAAGACACCAGGATCTGAAGTCAGGTGGTCTCTCTCTGAAGCTCCATCTGGAGCTTCACACCAGCTTTCCACACTGAGATTTCGAGCTGCAACTTTCTTTCTGCAGACTCAGTTTACCAGTCTGTGTGCATGGGTATGGCTGTGTGGAAGATTTGGCATCTGCTGTGGAGCATTATAAAACAGTGAAAAAACAAAGCAGTTCGCTATTTAAGAAGTAAAGCCAGAGCTACAAGCTGGTGGACTCACGCCTGTAATTTCTAGCTACTCGGAGGCAGAGATCAGGAGGGTGGAGGTTCAAAGTCAGCCTGGGCAACAGTTCTTGAGACCCTATTTCGAAAAAACCCATCACAAAAAAGGGCTGGTGGAGTGGCTCAAGGTGGACGCCCTGAGTTCAAATCCCTATATCACAAAAAATAAATAAAAAGTAAATCCAGGGCTGGAGGTATCTCACAGATACATGGAGTGCTAAGTTCCACATTATGTGGCTACAGAGACAAGGTGGAACTGCCCTGAGAACCTTCAGTATACCTGGTGAGCCAAGATCTGTAATATATAAAAGAATAGTAAGTGGCTCAAATCATAACTCAGGCAGGAATTCAGAAAAAGGGATCAGCTCCCCTGGAGCAGCCAGCCAGGGCTTTAGGACTCCTGCCAGTCCCTCTAGCGCCTCTGCTACTGGTGTCATCGCCAGTAAAAGGCGAAGCAATGTAGTCTTCTCTCACAAATGCCTATAACCACGTGGGCTTCTCTTCTGTGCTGCCCAGTGGTAATCTCTCATCAGAAACCAGATTGGCTGCACTTGGGAGGCTAAGGCAGGAGGAATACAAAACTGAGGTCAGCCTCAACTACATAGCAAGACTGCATTAAAAACAACAGCAACAAAAAGCCAGGCACCAGTGGCTCATGCCTGTAATCATAGCTACCTTGGAGGCTGAGATCAGGAGGATAGCAGTTTGAGGCTAGCCTGGGCAAATAGTTCAATAGCTCAATAGCCCCATCTTCAAAATAACCAAAGCAAAATGGACTGGAGGCGTGGCTCAAGCGGTAGAGCACCTTCTTTACCCAGTCCCACAAAAAGAAAAAAAAAAAAAGCTTAAAAAATAAACAAAAAACCAAAGCAGAAAAGGAAGTAGACAGGAGTGGGGGAGGTGGGAGGGCTCTGAGGGGTGAGAGTAGCAAAGGTTTTCCCTAGCCCACTTGCTTTCCTTGGTCCGGCCAGCTCCTGCCTCCTCCTTCCTTCTCAATTCTGTCCTTCACACATCTTCATGGCTGCAGTAGCATGCAGACAGGGCTCAGTTTTCCCTTTGCAGGCTACTCTTCTAGCTGGCACTGTGCACAACTGTGGATGCACTGGAAGTCTGAGCTGACTTCAGGAAACTCTTCACTTGATGATGATCAACTCAATCCTTTCGCTTTTCATCCAGCACAAAGCCAGTAAGTTGTCTGGATGAGCCAAAGAAAATAGGCCCTCTAGCTGGTTTCTTTTCTTTCATTTTTTTTTTTGGTAGTGAAAGTAATAATAAAGTTTATTAGGAAAGGAATTTAGTATAACAGGACAAAAGGGAAAAACATTTCCTGCTCCCCATGTAGGAAATGGGAGTAGACTCCCCTGCTCCCCTGTAGCTGTTTTTCTTCCAGGATTGGGGGGGGCAGATAAAGGAGAATGATGGAGAGGGTGAATTCAACTATGATATACTGTAAGAACTTTTTTTTTTTTCAGTACTGGGGTTTGAACTCAGTGCCTACACCTTGAGCCACTCCACCAACCCTTTTTTGTGATGGGTTTTTCTGAGATAGGGTCTCATGAACTATTTGCCTGGCTGGCTTCAAACCTCCATCCTCCTGATCTCTGCCTCCTGAGTAGCTAGGATTTATAGGCGTGAGCCACCAGCACCTGCTAACATTAGTTTTTTAAAGGCAGTCTTTTCCTTCCTGGAAGAGATGCTCTTTCTGTATGTAGTAGTTCGGAAAAAAACCTTCTGTATACATGTCTACAGCCAGGCAGAATGGCAGCTTTTACAGCAGCAGGCTGGAGGGCAGCAGCTTCACATGCTCAGTGCACATGCTCTCTTGTCCCATTCCTGGTCACATGTCCTTAGAGCTGGGATACTTGGGCAAATCACTTAATCTCCTAAGTCTGTTTCCTCTTTACACTGGGGGGTTTCATCACAAGAGCTGTAAGATTAAACCAAACTCCAAAACCCTCTCACCTACTTCTGTGAGTGCTTAAGGCAGAGGTACATGAGTCTTGGTCATGTTTACTAAAATCCATCTTCTAGTGGGGAACAGAGAATTGTTTTCTTTCAGGGCTGGAGATGGAACTTCATGCATGCTAGGCTTTATCGATGAGCTATAACCCCAACCCCTCTTTTTTGCAATTTCAATCAGCTTTATTTGCAATTCTAGAATGGGGCAGCAGGTCTGGATGAAGAATAGTACAGAATACCCCAAGAATCATTTTTTGTTGTTTTTGGTACCCGGCTTTGAACTCAAGCCAGCATTTTACTACTTGAATCATACCCCCAGTCCTGTTTGCTTTAGTTTAGTTTTCAGATAGAGTCTTGTGCTTTTGCCCCAGCCACCTCAGACCACAGTCCTCCTACCTTTGCCTCTTAAGTACCTGGTGCCATCATGCCTAGCTTTATTAATTTTTTTCTTTTGGTGGGACTGGGGTTTGAACTCAGGGTTTCACACACCTGGCTTGTTTTTGAGATAACTTTTACCCCAGTCTGGCCTAAAACTACGATTCCTCCTATTTCCACCTCCCAAGTAGTCAAGAATCAGTTCTGACACAAAGTTGACAGCATATTTTTGCCCATTCCTTTAACATTCTTATGCAATCAATTCTGGAATTAGGGAAAAGAACAAGTTTCTTTGCTTTGTCTTCTACCTTCTAGTATAGCTGTTTCCTTTTCCTTTTTGTCAAGCACGAGTTGCTCCATTTCTTTCCTTAAATCTTCCTGATTTAAGTTACAGGTATCGAAGGCATCACTGACAAACTCGGAAACACCTGGGCTAGTAGAAATTTCCTCCTCATCCTGAAATGCAACAAAAGAGCTCTTGAGATGATTTTCGAAGTGACATGTACTAGAATTCTGGTTTATGGTTGTCTCACAATTTAATACAGCCTAATTTTTGCTCTTCTCTGCTAGGTGTAAGACAATGATTGCTGTTCTCTAGCCTTCTAACTTGCAGTTGCTTGGTAACTAAATTAGTTACCACCTGAGGCTATTATTCTCCTGCACAGTTGGGATCACTCCAACCATTTTCTCCAATCCCCGATGAGCAGATCAAGAATTATTTATGCTAGTAAATCACCTCATGTCTCAGCTGTAGGTCCCTGACTATTCAAGTATTGGACTCCTCATCTTACCAACAGATAAGACCCATACTCTTTTGTTTTAAGTGGTAGTAGATATTAACCCAGTTGCTACTTTATTTCCAGACATCAACTACTAGGTACAATGTAAAACTGTATTACCTCTTGAGTTTTAAGCTGAGGTTTGATTACGACAGGTGGTGTTTTGGGCCGTACTGCCTCTAAGAAGTGAGAATAAAAGAGACAATAATTGCTTGATTCAGTTCTGAATATATATTACAATAACAGCTAAAATACCCACAAGTATTATACTAAATTATTTCAAGAATTAAGCTTTTATGTTAGCTTTTCTTAAGTTATTACAAGAAATAGCCAGTGCAACCACCTCAACTTCTTATTCTTGGGGATATTTTTGATGTTACCATAGTCAGTGCCTCTTAAATAAAACTTCCAGCAGGAAATCATTTTGGATTTCAGGGTTAGCAAAACTTATTCTGCTCTTTCTTTGAGGATAATGAGAATGAAGTTATCAGGTTTCGCTGTTGTCAAGATTGCTAGAAAGCACAGAGCAAAATGTATGGCTCAATCTCAGACTCTCCTCTTTCTCACAGGCTTCATTTTTATTTTATTAACCTTACTGGACAGACAGTCCTTCCTGAATACTGTCTCAAGTTCATTCTGTTAAACAGGCAGTATTTGGCAAAATACCATTTTCCAATAAAATTAATATAAAGAAATGCGAAAGAATGATAGGCCATTAGGATGCATATTAGCATCTATGCAAAATGACCAATTTTACTGTGCAGAGCAACTTCATTACATTTACTTAATTCTAAATGTAGGTTCAGAGCCTTTACTGGTGGTCTGTACATCCTGTACCTTAGGACATAATGTCTTGCTTAATTATCTAAAATTCCATAAAGTAAATTACCCCACTTCTTATGGGATGAATGTCCAGTGGTATTTCCTATCTATCTATACACAGCGGGTACTCACTAAAAATTAAAATGACACAAAACACATTTCTTATTTTATTTTAATTAGTGTTATAGACAGCAAATGGTTACTGATATTATAAAACTTTCCCCCACAACCAAGGGTAATGTGTCGCAAGAAGAAAGTGTCAGGTGTTTAAATTCAACAGTGCATAGCCCAGAGCTGGATACTCATCTAGAGTGCAATGGAGCTCTGCTCTACAGATCACACATACAGAGGAATTCAGGATGAATGAAAGTCTGAGAAACAGAAGGAGGGAGACTGAAACAGTACAGGACAGAAGCTATAAAAAAGTCATACAGTAAAGGGCAAGAAAAGAAGTGTATTTGAGAAAGAAAGAAAGTAAGCTGGGTCAGGGAAAGGACAAAAGAAAATTTCCTTTGGAAAGAATTTTTTCTGTCTGGTGATGTCAACCTTTTTGGTACATTCAAGAAGCCAAGCTCATTAGCATCTCTAAGTTAAGAGTATTTTTACAGTAATTGTTTGCAGAGTGAGATCTTTTTCCTGG